GAAATTAAAAGAAATGAGAGACTGTAAAACAATGAAAACAATAGTAAATATCATCAGAAAATAGAAAACATAAACTTTATACCTCCACAATTAAATAAATCTTTATATATGTAGGGAACAAATACTTCTCTTAAGTAGTAATGATTCATAAAATGAATACTTGACTCAGTGAATTTACAGTACAGACTTAGCATTTTAAAAGCAGGTGTGGGACTTGTTGAGATACAGAGAAATATGTTGGCCATCTAAAAGCATTAGGATTATTGACTAAAATTTTACTCAAATGGGATATAATGAAACTTTCTCTTGGTGTCTAAATAATCAAATTCAAATTCTTGGGTTTTTATTTCAGAAGTAGATTTCATTGTTTAACAATTCTTGCCTTTCATCACTTCAGATATTATTACATTTGTAATTCTTGGAATATAAATATAATATGCTAATTTTTTGTGGGTTTTAGATAGCATTAATGATTTTCACTGGGTAGAATTAATTTCTCCATTTCCACATTAGTATTTCTCATTCCAAACAGGCTCTTATGTGGAAGAAAATAGTTTTGTATTGTTTCTATAAAGTTGGTTAAGGACAACTCAATTAATAGCTACATTGCAGGAACAGATATGACCAAGAATTACTTTAAAATTGATTCCATTTTTAAATTTTTGTGGTGAAAAAGAAGATATTACATTGCAAGCCATATACTACTATCCTTTTAAAAGTTGTGAGATATCAATAATGAGTAATTCTAATTTAGTTAGCTAATGGTATGGCACAACCAAACATCTATCAAAATAAAAGAGCCCATATGCATACAAAATCACCTCTTTATCATAAATGTCATTAGAAACTATAAAGTCCCAAATATAGTCTTTGAGTAAGTCTCTTAAAAAAAAAAAAGAATAACATTTTAAATGCATAGCTATTATAAACTCATTTGATATTCATTTTAATTGCCATGACTATAATGAATGTACTTTGTATTGCAACAGATGTCACAAGTACTACTACAGAAGTTGCAATATAATTCAGTCTTAGTTAAGAATGAGCAAATGGAAATTTAAAATTGAATGTTACCAGGAATAGGAGAAAAACAATTATAGCAACATCAGCTCCCTAAAAGGGCAAATTAAATACTTTTATTAAATTGTGTCCTTTCTTATTTGGACACTAGAGGTCCAGTACATGAAATTTATGCACTCAGGGAGGAGGGACCCTAAGCCCAGATTGTGAGAAGATGCAGGCCAGGCTGAGGGACCCCAGTGGTGCACAATCAGGGCAGGGGAGGGATACAGGAAGTTGGCCAGCAAGGAAGGCACTGTGGGAGGGCTCCAGAGCATGTCAGGCCTGTCTCACTCAATCCTGATGTGCCGGACCCCAGCAGCAAGCTAACCTACCAGTGGAAGCATCTGCCCCTGGTGCTCAGTGCATGTCATAGCAATTGGTTGACTGGTCAACTGTCTGCCTCCTGGCGGTCAGTGCACATCATAGTGAGTGGTTGAGCGGCCTTAGCATGTCATTAGCATATTATGCTTTGATTGGTTGAATGACTGGACACTTAGTATATTAGGCTTTTATTATATAGGAAGGATATATAGGACACAACAACACAGGAAAGCCTGCTATATCAACCAATCGTTTTTCTTACCTCAGCTATTTTACAGATTAGTGAGCCTGGAACATAAAAATTGGAAATGTGAAAAAATTACTCAAAAGGGCAGGTTGAAATTCACTTTACAATATTTAGAGACTGGTCTATAAAAAATATTTAAGAAGGACTACTATGTCAATTTATTTTAGCTGAAGGAGCAGATGATTATGTATGGCATTTTATTTCAATGGGTCAGACATGTCCTAATATTGCCTTTAATATTCTCTGACATGGAGGACTGACAACCTTAAAATCCTACCTGAGAAACCTTCAGGCCAGAAATGAAAGATAGTGTTTTTCAATGTCCTTTAGAGAATTACCCAGGGATGTTTGTTGAAAGCAAACACTCACAGGCCCAATCAAGTTCTATCAAATCTGTTTGGGCAATCAGCACTTTTGACAAGCTACCCAAAAATTTTGATGTACACACTTGTTTAAAAACAACTGCCTGGCCCAAACCAGGTGGCTCAGTTGGTTGGAGCATCATACCATATACCAAAAGGTTTCAGGTTTAATCCAGATCAAGGTACTTCAGGGAGACAATTGATCAATGTTTCTCTCTCACAATGATGTTTCTCTCTTCTCTATTCTCTCTCTCTCTCTCTCTCTCTCTCTCTCTCTCTCTCTCTCTCTCTCTCTCTCTCATAATCATATCCTACAGTGAGGGTTTAAGAAATAGTAATAATAAAAATAAAAAACAACTGCCTGAAGTTTGGATGAGGCAACATTTAAAACTATATATTTTTCATTTCATTCCAATCAGTAAATATTAAGTAGCAATGTGAGTGAAAATTTGATACTTAGAGGGTATCCAAAAGGCAGAAAGCATATGATAAATTGATTGTCAAGGTCAATTCACTAAGTATAGTATCCTACACATATCTGAAAACACAAAGAAAATTGTGTTTTTCAGATGAACGATTCACTCTTTAAAAAAAAAACCTTTCTTATCAACAACTCACTCTTAATTTCAGTTTAGTAGTTCTTCCCCAGAAAAGGTGTCTTGAAGCTGAAGTTGTATTTTGCTTATTATTAGAAATATAGGTAATCATTGTTTAAAATAAAAGTTATCCTATTCTTCTGATGTTCGGGACACCCTGTGTTTTGAAAGGAGGGTAATAGTGAGTGAGGCTGCTTGGTGGCCGGGGACAAGGACAGAGGGTCTCAACGAGGGAAGAGAGGAATGAACTGCAAGACCAAAGCACTAAAAGCAAATTGCTTTTCTTACCTCCAACCTTATTCCCCTGGTGTCTGAACTGTAAGTTACACTCATTTGGAAGTTGCATTGTGTTTTGTTTTTTTTCCTAACCACCAAAACAAAATTGAAAAAGTCAAAGTAGACTTTGGAGTTTAATAGAACGGGAGAAAATAAAGTGGATGGTACCAAGTTATTTTTCTGGTCAGCAATTTCCCCTTATCCTCATCCTCACCCAGAATTGGAGACCAACTGATGGAAATCTTGGAAAAAAACTTCAATAAGGAGCCCTCACTCATGAACTGAGCGCAGACAAGCTGATGAGATTCATTCATTGCGCCTTGCACCCTCAATTTTTACAGTCCTTGGTTGACTTTTCTTAGCACTGGAACAGGATCAAAAAGCAGTCTCTCACCCAGCAATGTCAGCATTCTGGGAACTCAGTTATCAGTCTGCTTGGGCTGCCATAACAAAACCTCACAGGCTCTGGCTTAAACAAGGTATTTTTTTTCTCACAGATCTGGGGGCTAGAAGTCCAAGACCAAGGTGCTGGCCAGTTTGACTTCTAATGAGAGCTCTCTTCCCGGCCTTCTCATATGTCCTCACATGGTGGAGAGAAAGAGCTCACTGTTCCCCTATTTAAAAGGCCACCAATCCAATCAGATCAGGAACCCAGACTTATGACCTCATGTCTAATCATCCCTTAAAAGCTCTGTCTCTAATACTCATTAGGGGTTAGGACCTCAACAAATGAATTGGGCTTGGGATGGGCACAATCCAGGCCATAGCATGCCTTACAAATGCAATTCCCAAGTCATACCTCAGATCTGTGGAATCAGAGACTCAGGAAGGGGGCCCAGCAGTCTGTTTTATTCGCCTCTGCAGGCTATTCTAAGGCACATTAACTTTGGAGAAGCCCTGTCCTTCAGGAGAAATCCCAGTCCAGGACATGGCATCTGTGTCCTCTGGTTCTTCTCTTCAACCAGTTTCCTACTGCTCTTCACACCAACTCTGCTTTTGCCGCACTACTCCCAGAATGGCATGAAGGTCATTCACGTTCTTTCTTCTAGACTTTTGCTTATGCTCTTTCACCAGCCTTGAGTCTTTGCCTCTGTAAAGAGGCATTACGTCTACAACCAAGCCACAATCCTCTGTTTCTCACAACAGCAGACAGCGGATGCTCTAACTGCCTAAACCCATGGTCGGCAAACTGCGGCTCACAAGCCACATGTGGCTCTTTGGCCCCTTTAGTATGGCTCTTCCACAAAATACCATGGCCTGGTGAGTTTATTTTGAAGAAATGGCATTAAAAGAAATTTAAGTTTAGAAAATTTGGCTCTCAAAAGAAATGCCAATTGTTGTACTGTTGATATTTGGCTCTGCTAATGAATTTGCCAACCGCTGGCCTAAACCAATTGCCTTCCTATTTTACATATTTTACTTTCCTGGAGTTCACAGGTTACACTCATCTGTAATTTTAGCACTAGACTTTGGACATTAAGAACACTCAAGTCTTCATAATATTGTGTACTGTTTTGCTTATAATTCTTCTCTGTAAGTTACTCCTTACAACAAAAACTCTGATACAACATGATCAGCCCACTGGTCACTGACATAATGCCACTTCCAAAATTGCTTAATATTAAAAAAAATAATCTTTATACTATTTGCTATTTATTAAGTCCTTAAGTGCATCAAGCCCTATAATAAATAGTACATAACCTCATCAAATCCTCACAATTACCTTGAAATAAGCATCATGACCCCTATTTGACTGAAAAGACGTTGGACACTGAGGAATGAAATCAACACACTCCTAAAGTCACACACCTGGGGAGAGCAAGGCCCGAGTTACTGTTTCTCTGAATCCCAGCGCATCCTTTATTCCCACTCTTACACCATAGATGGGGGCACTGACTTTCCTATCAACATGTTCAATGGACTGCCAAGAACCCCAGAACAGATGGCTTTTGGGATAAAGATATTTCCAGTATGTCCTTTGGAAACACAGACCAGCATTCTATTTTACTTTCTCACAGCTGCCAGCATTCTCCACTCTGGGCTCTATGCTAGCAAGCCACACCTGTTGGGTTGTTTGGGCAATTCCGAGCACCAGCTGAGACCGTAATTAAAAGTAACGATCCACTGGCAGCCTACCTGGGGTGTTCAACAACCGGGACATCTTGCAGAAGTAGGAGACGTACTGCTCGCAGTGCTCGGCGCTGCTGGTGATGGCGCTGATCTGGTCCATGGAGGCGCTGTACACGAGCTGGGTCACCGAGTACTTCTCCGGGGTGTAGCCCACCACCGTGGTCTGCATCTGCAGGTCATGAGACACGATGGTCCACACTTTGTCCTCTGTGGGGAGAAAAATGTCACCGCAACGGGTCATTAACATGCAAATGCTCCCTCCAATGCCAGAAAGTAATTGAGCTCCACTTTCACTGCTATTTTCCAGGAGCAGATGAAGAGGGAGTTAAGTAGAGTAATTCTTAAAGTGACCACTACCCTTTTCTCAGACCTAAGTTCTGTTTACATGGACAAAGTAGGAAGGATTTAAAAAAGATAAAAGCAAACACAGGATCTATCCTGCAAATGAAAACAAATAGTTTGAGTACCTGTTGATGCTCTGATGTCACCAGCATGGGAAGTGAGGCCCATTGTGTTCCCAATCCTCCTGACTCTGGCCCATCACTCCTCCAGCAGAACAGCATTCTGCTCCTTCCTAAATCGCCTCCACTCTCTTAAGTCTCTGGATCCTGTACGTGCAGAATCTACCTCCTCATCTTGTCAACAATTGTTCTTTCCAACCTGACCTTTTGGGTGAAATGAGACACTGCATTCTTGGGTATTGAAATGCTCTACAGGTGAGATAATGCATGTGAGAAATTATCTTGGGGTTCTGAACCCTGAACATTTCAGTATGTGAAGAGGAGAAGCAGATATAAGAATGATGTGGCTAAGTTAAAAACCAGTGTATGTCTGAATTGGAAGCATCACTATGTAGCCATGGTTCTGATACTCTGCTCAAAGCCCTCACCTCGCACGTGGTTTTGTTTGGAGTAAAAGTCTAGGTTTTAAAATAACTGAAGGCCCTCAATAATCACAGCCTCCTTGCCACTACTCCCTTTTGCCCTCCTAATCTCCCCCTGGCTCACTGGATTCCTGCCACACTGACCTCCTTGCACTCCGCCATGTCAGACAGGTCTCTCCTGGAGCCTTTCTGTCTTCTCCCCTGTCTTTGCTCCAAGGCTGGCCTTTCCTTTGCTGAGTTGTTCCCCTCCCCCCCATGCCCCATGCCCATGCCCCACTCACAGCTGTCTTCTATCTTCCCATCCACTTTGTTTTTCTCCATAGCACTGATCTCATCAGACTCAGCGCACATTTTTATTATTTTTTACGTCTGTCTCCTCACATTAGAAGGAAAGAGAGCAGGAATTGTTCTCAATGCTGTATGCAAGATGCTTAGAATGGCGATAGGCATATACTGGGCCTTTAAAAATATTAGTTGCATAAAAGAATGAGTTAAAAAAAATAGAATACAAATATTTGATGAAGGAACTTTTAAAAATCACTTTGATTCCAGTTCTGCTCTGCTATGATGATCTGGGCAGATTCTAGAAGGCTAACTCTTAGACTCCTCTGAGCAATAATTTCCCTTTATCTGTAACAACAGGTCTCTGCACTGGAATACTTTCCAGCTGCTCTTAAATCAATGGAAACAAATTCTGTTACGGTGCCTCCTACACTAATGTATTCTATACACTAGGATAATGATATTTCAAGTTTTACCTTTGGCCTGATCAGAATTGCCTTCTTTTAGCTCCTCTGATACAGCAAAGCAGCTATAATATATTTGAGTAATTCTGTGATTTCTGACATGATTCTGACACCAAAAACTGATTGTCATTTATATCCAGGCCAGCATATTTACCTTCACCTAATTAAAGATGAGTCTCTAATATTTTGGTTCTAGTGACGTTTTGACCCTAAACTCGGTTTCCATTCCCCTCCCTACATACATTTCTGTATCTACCCCCTGTGCACCATCTTCTTTACACAGCTGACCTTTGAACAGAATGGGGGTTAGGGGTGTTAACCCCTGTGCAGTCAAAAATCTGTGTACAACTTTCGACAATCCCAAAACTTCACTATTAATACCCTACTCTTGACCAGAAGCCTTATTAATAATATAAACAATTAACACATATGTTATATGTTATATTGGTTTTATGCTGTATTCTTACAATAAAGTAAGCTATAGAAAATAAAATGTTATTAAGAAGGTCATATACATGAGAGAATACTGTTTCAGCATTTGTTGAAAAATCTTCCACATATAAGTGAACCCACCTTGTTCAGACACTTAGTATTCAAAGGTCATCTATGTTTGTTTTAGAGCCCATTTATTCATTTATTATTGAGTCCCTACTTTATAACAGATATGAATGGAGGCACTGGGGAAACCAGAGTGAAAAACATTCATAAATTTTTGTAGCTTACATTCTTACGTTTTAGAGGGGCAAAACATAATAAGCAAAAAATTGCAGCTTTATTTGTATATGTGTGTGTGTGTGTGTGTGTGTGTGTGTATGATTAGTTAGTTAGTTAGCAAGTGATCATGGTGAGGACAAAAACTAAATCATGGAAGGGAATAATAGACCATGTGTATGGGGACTGCATTTTTAAACACAGAGGAAATGTCATATCTAGATATATAAGGGCATTATTAAGCAAGTCTTGTAAAAAGGATTCCAGACAGAGGGATGCAAATACAAATATTCTAACTCTGGAGTATTCTTTACATCATTCAGGTGTTTGAGGAGATTCCTAAGTGAGGAAGAAGGAAAGGATAGCAGGTGTGGAGATCAGAGATGTAATGAGGATGGGTTGGGTGTTGTAAGATGTTGTAAGACCTCAAGTAAGATGGAAATCTATTGGTGTTGGAAATGGAGCAAATTAAAGTAGCATGCTTTACCTTATTATCTGACACTATTCTTTGCACCAATAACATTCTAACTTAGAAAAGTTTGGGAAAATATACATATATCTTTATAAACATTTAAAACTTTTAATGTCATGGCATTATAAAAAGTAATGCATAAGCTCTAATTGATGGCATAAAACAATTACTGTTGATGCATCTTGCAAATTATTTTTTAATGCTTGCATATTACACATTGAAATGATTCCTTTGGAGACATTAAAGCTTAAGACATAAATGGATGTTAAGCATTTTGCAAGCATTCCATAACTAGAAGAAAGAAGGTGGTTATAGTGCATAGATTTTCTTTATATTTGGTAGTATTTTATTTTTTCCATCACCATTTATCCCTTCTATGCCCTCTTCCAGGTGCACCTCCACATCCGCAATGACCACACTATTGTGCATGTCTATGAGCTTTCTCTCTCTCTCTCTCTCTCTCTCTCTCTCTCGCTCTCGCTCTCGCTCTCGCTCTCGCTCTCTTTCTCCTTAATCTCTCCCCTCCAGCCCCATGACCAGAGCTGTCTGCCTGCTCTCTATCTATGAGTCTGCCTCTATTTTGCTTGGTAATTCTGTTTGCTCATTAAATTCCATATATGAGTGCAATTTTCTAGTATAGTATCATAGTGGAAAAATAATCAATCCTATATTCATACTGTGCTTATATAATATGCATTATTAGATATATGTTTAATGCAAACAGAAAATACTGGGTATGTTGAATTCTGTGTCTGCCACTATATCAGTTTCATAAAGAAGCAATTGACAGAGTAATGTATTTCAAATACTCTCTTTGGATTAGTGTGTTAAGAAAAGGCCATCTGTAATTGCTGAGAGCTTAGTATCTATTTCATGTAATTACGTATTTAAAAATTGTCACATTTTGCCCTGGCCAAGTGGCGCAGTTGGTTGGAGCATCATCTCCTGTACAGAAAGTTAGTGGATTCAATTCCTGGTTTAGGGCACATACCTAGATTTCAATGTTTGATCCTTGAATGGGGCATATATGGGAAATAACTGGTCAATGTTTCTCTCTTACTCCCCCTCCTTCCCTCTCTAAAATCAATAAAAACTTATCCTCTGGCAACAATTAAAAATTTTGTCCCATTATAAATTGTTTTAAATATAGCTGACTTAATATGCTTCAAATACTGGGATACATATGGAACATATTGTGAATGCATCCCTCTCCTTGGCAATAATGGGGTGTCTCAAGATTACCCAGTTTCTTTCTTTCTTTTTTTTTAAAATATATTTTATTGATTTACAGAGAGGAAGGGAAAGAGATAGAGAGCTAGAAACGTCGATGAGAGAGAAACATCGACCAGCTGCCTCTTGCACACGCCCCACCGGTGATGTGCCTGTAATCACTGTACATGCCCTTGACCAGAATTGAACCTGGGACCTTTCAGTCTGAAGACCGACACTCTACCGCTAAGCCAAACCGGTTTCGGCCCCAGTTTCATTATGTTGACACAAGTACATTAGAAAGAACCCTCTGCTATCCCAGTGACTGCATGTCCTTACCTTATTTGGAATTCTCAAGTAATTCACTCATGAGAACTCAATTCCTTGCATAGGTAGAGTTCTGACCAGGGTCTAGTAAAGCCAGAAAAAGATCAGGGGGAAAAAGCAAAAAATAACTCCTCTCAGGATATAACCAGTTTCTATATATCTGTGCTGTTCTTTGAATCTTTTTCATGTTACTCATATACAATCTGAAGTTCACATTACAGAGCAGGTCTGTACAGTGTATCTATAATAATGAAAGGGTAATATGTTAATTAGTTTGGTTGAATCCAGGGCTGAAAGGGAAGTCTGGGTCCTGGGTGCCTGCTAGCTGCCTGAGGGAAGCCTGGATCCCAAGTGCCAGAGGGAAGCTGGTGCCAACAGCCAGGGGAAGGCCTGGTTCTCCCCTGCTGGCTATCTTGTGGTGGCCATCTTATATCCACCTGGGGGCGCTGCCATCTTTGACCACATGGGGGTGGCCATCTTGTGTGTTGGAGTGATGGTCAATTTGCATATTACTTTTTTATTAGATAGGACTAGAGGCCTGGTGTGTGAAATTTATGAATTGGGGGGAGGGTGTCTCTCAGCTGAGCCTGCAACTCTGCAATCTGGGATATCCCTCTCACAGTCCAGAACTGCTGGCTCCTAATGATTTGCCTGTCTGGCTGCCTGATTGCCACTAACCACTCTTCCTGCCAGCCTGATAGCCACCTAACTGCTCCCCTGCTGGCCTGATTGATACCTATCTGCTCCTCTGCAAGCATGATTTAGCCAGCCCAATCACCTCCAACTGCCCTCCCCTGCAGGCCTGGTTGCCCTCAACTGCTATCCCCTGGTGGCCATCTTGTAACAATGTGGGGATGAC